GGGCTAACATCCATGTCACCACCGGCATCTCCATTGGCTTCATTGCAGCCTTCTCTACATGCACAATCAATAAATGAAAAATTGCAGAATTTGCCTCAAGTAGGCATCATACATTTGGCTCTTCAAAATGACTCAACAGGTTCAATACTAAGGTTAGGATCTTCCTCCTGGCTATATTATTTAAGGTTCTCATCTGTTATAAATTACCTCCTGATTCTGTAAATTGTCAGTTGGCAGAATGATGTGTTTGTGGTCGCTGAACCAGGCGAGCTTGCAGATAGATTTCTTCAGAGTGTTCAATTGAGCCAGACTTCATTGGTGCGAGGAAGAAATAGAATGGAAGCTTATTCCTTAGCTAAGGTTTCATCTGTTGCTGACCTGGTTACAAAATGGCGATGCTTTCATGTTGGAGGTATACTCCACCGATATATAGGACGCCAGACACAAGTATGTATTTTCTTTCTTCTTATGACAATTTCATATCTGTTTGTCTTTACTATGAAACTAACATGATATGTTTACTATCATGATGACGACTGGAGGTAATGGAGGATAACCAAGAAATTGGTGCATGCATGTTTCGGAGAACAGTTCCTGCTGTTCACTTGACATCTGAAGATGTTCGCTGGATGGTAAGTTTTAGCGTGGTTTGCTGTTACTTTATGTACGAAGAAAAATATGCAACTACCATGCTTGATACTGTGTTGAGTGCATGTTGGTGCTTTTGGATAGTGTTGTTGTTATGTCTGAATAAGTGGCCACATTGCTGTACTTTCTCATGATTTTTCCTGTCATAATTCTTTGTAGCTAATAGCGAATTAGTCATTGCACATCTTAATAAATATTTTGAGTAAAAAGCCAAAAACTTTTATTTGTGCTGATCAAACAGGAACCACAGGCTTTGCAAAAAAAGACAGCATGTCCTTCACATCTTATCCAGCAAATCTGTGTCCATCTTTCAAAGAGTTTGTGCCCTTTCTTGCATTCTTTCGATAAGGAGTCCATACCTTTTGGTGACTTTGGTTATCTCTACTCTTTTCTAGATAGTTTCCTTTCGAAGTTCAATTAGAGACTTGAATTGGCATTATGTAAATCTAAGTTTGATATCGCGACCTTTCAAATTTCTCATTTTGTCACATCTAGAGGGCATGCGGTAGTGCCCCCTGAAGTCATCCTGTGTGAAATTATAAGTTCATTTTGGCATGTTTTTAGTCCATTTGTTATGAAAAATCAATATTACATTCAGATGCACAGGGGTTACTTGCTCCTATGGTTGAAATAGTTCTGATTTTTGGTTGGACTTTTTTTCACTTGTCATAAACAAATATCAACAAAAAGTTTCTCCCTATTAGCTTTGGATTTATGTTCTGTGGTTGAGTCAGGAGATGGGTTAGTGTATTTCCACCAACCAATACTGAAGCATCGATTCATAACTTGCCTTGGTTCTAATTTTTCATTGCCGAATAGAGTTCATCTCTTCATCTTTTCTTGGAAAAATAAAATTAATTATATTAATCCATAAGCAACATTCAGCTCATGTGCTGTAACCTTCATATTCTCATATATGAAGTCATGTTCCATCCATGTTCATGGTAGTGTGGCTTCTGCAATGCAAGTAACTCTACATGTAGTTTGTCAAAAACAATTTTTCAAGGATGATTCTTTTTTAGGGTTGTTGAGTTGTATAAAGTTGAGACCTAGTGAATGTGTTGGTTTCTACAGAAACCTTGGAAATTGGAAATTTGTAGGCACGCATATTCTGTGACCTCAGGAAAATGGCTATAGGAGCATCAAAATTTATGTTTCTGATTGCTTCCCCTTTCATGTAATTTAGATATAGATGTACTCAATGGTTGACCGATTGTAAGCAAACGATCTTTTTGATAGATATAATGGGTCAACAATCAGCTCCCTACCGAGAGAATTATACATCTAAGTTGTTCAAGCACAAGCTAACTTGTCCGATCTATTTCTTCTGCTTATATGATTGTCTAAATCTTTCTTTATAGATGTGTATTGTCAAGCTTACTGCTTTTAATCTCTGAATTCATATCACCAGGTTGGAGCATGGAGAGGGCGAATCATAATATGCACCGGAAAGTATGGGCTTGCTCCAAGCTTGGTGAAAGCTTTCCTAGATTCAGGCGCCAAAGCTGTTGTCTCATCGTCGATCGAGCCTCCTGACATGAAGTCCATACAGTTCCGTGGCACAAGTGATTATAATGGCTTTGAGAATGGAAGGTTTGAGATTGGAGATGAAGAGGGCGAACAAGAACCAGTTAGTCCCGCAAGTGACTGGGAAGATGGTGATGGAGAGAAAGGTGGTGAACACTCGATCAGCTGGAATGGTGACTACGAAGAAGATCTATCTGAGTTCATATGCCATTTGTATGACTCACTGTTTCGCAAGGGATCAACGGTAGATGTTGCTCTGCAGAACGCTCTCTGCTCCCATCCGAAGTTGAGATACAGTTGCCATCTGCCAAATACACTTTAGTCTTAGCTACAAATAAGACATTATATGCCTACTAGATGAAATGATATGATTACACAAGATCAAGAACTGAGAAATTTTGTTTATTTGTTCACAGTAGAGTCTGTTAAAGAAAGGTACAATTTTGATTTAATTCTATTTGTATGAATGCTCTTGCGGCAACAGTGAATAAAAATGGGAAAGTAGATACAGAGACTAGTTTGATCCAGTGTCTGCCAGCCAATTGAAGGGACCTAAATGACATCAAAGTGCCATGCTTCCGGGGTAGTTCTTTTGAGCTGACCTAAACTAAACTGAGATCCAAAATTTTGCAGTAAACCTTTTCAGGATGCATTTAGTGTGTTGGCAATGGGGAAATGAAAAGGTTCTTTAATCCATTACAAACATCCACCAACATGTTGCTACTTTGTTTGAAAAAGGTACAGAAGCACCAATCTACAACAAAGAAGAGAATGATAAATTACAGGATTAGGATGAAGCAAATTCTTGTTCAAGCTCTCTGAACAGAGAACCCCAAAATTAACTCCTTGATCTCCTCATTGGCTGCTCTATCGAGAGCTGTTCTTCCATCTGCATCTTTGACATCATACTTTGCACCTGCCCTCATCAATTCTTCAATTTTGGGTTTGTCACCTTCAGACGCAGCCAACATCAACAGTATATCCACAGGATGGATGTTTTGGCTTAGTAGTGCCTCCATCTTATCATATGAACCCTCCACGGCAAGCATTCCCATATAATTGAAATACTGCATAGGTAGCACAAACAGGTCTCATCTCCAACAAGTACTAGACACATCCATGGTAATTGTTTACCGTATTAAATATGATTTTTATTCCCCTTACATTTGATAATGACATACGGATAGTATCAGAAAATTGGGAGACCAAATTAGATTGTGGAATCCTACCAGAAGTTAAGAATGCAGCAAAAATAAAGTAGCAATAAGCAAAAGTCCCTTGCCATTTATGCAGAATTACTCCATCTCCATACTAGGTTTTCGATATTGCCAGCATAATATGGCTCATAATGATGTGGCTCAGCATGACACTGTCAGGATGTCCTTTGTGCCCATAGAGACAAGCCAAAATTGGCACCATAATATTAATAGTTGTCACTGACTTAGCATGCCATGATACAACCTTCGGGTGGAAAACTTTGATCTGTGGTTCACATAAAGATACATATATTCATATACAAAAAATTAGTTTCCTAATAGCTTTTGTCTTAAAAGTCCTCTTAATCTTGCCAAAAGTCAATAGACCCAGTCTTTTTCTGTGTGCAGAAATCTTATATCAATCAATTGTGGTGAACCCAGTCCAAGCTAAAAACCTTATATACTTAATTTATTGGCATCCATATGCACTTCCACTTCATATGACATCTTTCTTCATCCTTCATTGCCATCGGCAGATTGCTGCTCTCCATAGTCTGCAGCATTTACAAAAACTCAGGCCAACTATCCTTCTTTCCTACAGTCTCACTACGTTTGGCAATATGTCATAGATGATGACCAAACTGAAATTGATATGGAATTTGATCACCATTCATCCGTTTGGTCGCCGGAACTCGAACCAAAAGTTCTTCTGATTCAAGCTGTCAAATACCTATGTTTCTCTTGTAATTACACAAGATACAATTCCATGCGAAAAAGAAAAAAAAAGATCTTTTCAATCTCTCGATCCAAATATTCTGATTCAAGTTGAGATTTCCAAACTTCGTGACTTCCAGCACTTGAATCCTCACCGCAAACATTTAATACACCTCCACTCCAGACTTTGAGACCCAGCATAGAGCATGATATCACTACTTTGGCGAATAAACGACCAAAGCCAAAAGGAAAAAGAGATGTATGCACAGACATCAGGAGCAGGGGTTTCACCTGTTCGACGTCGTCCCGATCGAAATCATCCCGCGTCTGACTCCCGTAGATGCCGGCGCCCTCGGCATCGACGCCGCGGTTCCCGAATCGAAACCAGCAGGTAAATCTCGACCCGTTGGTTTCCGGCCCCAACTTGGATCTCATCTCGGAGGCCCTGAACCATCCGAGCCGCCTCGTGAGAGCGACAAAGGGAGAGCTCAGCCTCACCGAAGAGGAAGAAGCAGAAGAGGAAGAAAAAGAAGGGATTTGATAATACAGAGTGCAGGGAATCGAGGCCATCGCGCTCTCCCTCTTCGTGTGTGCGGAGGATTTCTTTTATTGTTCTTTATCCATTCCGCTGACACGGGAAGTTGATAACGTAGGAAATAACGGCAGTTTGTTTCCGTTTTCGGATGGGGGAATTTACTTCTCCGTAATTAATCCGGATAAGGTTCGATCTTTTACTTGTTTTGGTTAAGATAAGGTCGGAAGCTGCGTGAGTGGCAGTATACATCATCCCACCTCGATCACAGTCGTATCTTAGGATTCCCAAACTGTCATGTTTGGTGGTTTTTATGGGTGCGTAAGCCATTCCATTCCTACAGAAACATTGTAACACAATAAGCGAATAGGAAACTGTTCTGATGATAGTGTAAGCATCATTCGCTGCTTATAATAATAACATGCCGTCAAGTGTTCTTCTAACAAATCATGAACATGTCACATAAAGAGACTGACATCAATCCCTGGAAAGAGATTTCGGCCGGTCGGTGCAGGCAGATTCACCGTTCTCACTTCTTTGGTCTCACCTCAAAGCCTTGGAGAATTAAGCCATGCTTCCATTGCAGCTCGTCGGTCTCTATCAGGCGCATCTCTACTTCCCCTCCATCCCCTTCATCGTTATAGAACTCGCCCAGCGCAACCTCCAGCCACCCATCCTCCCTCGACCGCATTCTCCCTTCTTGACCTTCTTCTGTCTCCTCATCAGACTCCTCCTCCTCCTCTGGCTGCAGAGAGACGTAGTTTGCTGATTCATAGGATCCTTGTATCACCGAGCCCTTCTGATAAGGGGAATCAAGGCCATATGCATCAGGGACTAACTTGAAGACGATGTAAGCTACATATGCCGTCTGCCGAGAGAGTAGTCGACTGTCAATTGAGCCATAAATGTCGAACCAGCAAACGGATAGAAGTTCTGGCACCTTAGCAAACCTGACACCAAATGAAGAATGAATTTGAAGGATTTAAAGTGAATGATATCAAAAGATTAAAGAGATAGTATTTTGCCTTTCTATTTCCAAGAATCCAATAAATTGTATTTAATTTTCATGAAAAATATTTCCCTGAAAATTCCTTTTTTTCCTTTGGTTTTACAAACGATCGAAATAGCTCCAATTAATGGTCTGATGAACACAGTCACAGTGGCCCTGTGACTGTGACCAGTAAGTGATGCACTTTACCTCGACTCAGGAAGAGAAATCCATGTCCAATATATATGATTGTAACCATGTACCAATGTCATCTTAACGGGAGATATCATGTAGGTCTTCTTCCCGGTTGCCCTGTCCAGTTGGAAGCTCTGACAATGAAAGAGATTAATCCAATTACTTCGGTGATAAGGTTTTTTTTTTTTCTTACCAATCAAACGAAAGAGGAACAAGATAAGATTTTCTCAACTATATGAATATATCTTTCTAGTCTGTCGAGGGAAATCCTCTAATCTGCTATCACTTTACTCCTTTTCGGTAAATGTGGACGGAAGCTTAGCAAGTTACCATTTGTTCGCCGTCGACGAGGATGGGGTGGCAGAGCCGAAAGTAGAGATCCTTCTTGGAGGAGTACTCCACGGGGTGGACGGCCCGCGATAGGATCTCGGCGCAGTCGGACGGCAAGAAGCCGTCCCACAGCGCATCGGATCCCGCCGCGGATAGGCAGGCTTTGGAAACAAGAGCCGACCTGCACGAATCACGAGGCGTCGTGAAGGATAGAACCTGGGCGACGCACTCCTCCGGGAGCTTCGCGAACCCGCCTCCCCGGTAGTGGCCTTCTTCTTCTTCTTCTTCTTCCGCGTGCACTCTTTTCTGCGTTGCCATTCTCTGAAACAACCTGTAAGCTTCTGCTACTCGGAAAGGACTAATTCAAGGAAGATATAACTATTTCTTCCGTAGACTTTGACTATAACACCTCTTTCCTAGTGCAAAAGTAGAGGAGAGTTGCAATTATTTAGTGCACTTAAGTTAAATTCACCTAAAAATTTTTACCCACCGCAAAGAAGAAATTATTAAGCTATGTGATCCTAATTAAATTCTGATTATATTTATCAGTTTAATTATAATAATATTTCTTAAAAAATCAAAGTCTGTTATATATTTAAACCAATACCTAAATATTAATTTTATAGGAATAGAACATTGAAAAGCTTCAAAAAGAATGATGATATATCTAAGAGATTATCAATTAGAAGTAATAAAATATTAAGATGTTAATTTTATAAAATTAATTCGATGGAAGGAAGTCCACTTCAAAATTTATATTCATGTTAGTTGAGGGAAGAGACGATTCTTTAAAAAATATATAAAGTAATTATTTATTATATTATCAATAATTGAAGTTAAATTTATGATATACCTTAAGGTTATAAATCATAATAAAGTACTTGATGATTAGAAAAAAATTTAAAAATAATAAGTATAAATTGAGAATCTAAGCAACCCCTTAATGATTATTGATTTATTTATTAAAACTTTATCGTAAAGTATTTAAAGAACATATTTGAGGCTTGTGAGCAAAACATAAAAGATATATTGATGTATTTTTCAATGGATACTATTATTAATATATTTATTTATGTTATATTATTTATATTTACACTTGTGTATAGTATAATTGAATATGATAATATGATTGTATTGACAAGAAAATTACTACAATCATTATAAATTATATTAGGAAAAACTAACAGTATTGATACATAAAAGAGAATATGATATTAACGACATAGAATCGTTATGACTTATTATTATACTTATTCGACTTATTGAGTTATTTTAAAATTCATGACCATGTATAATTTTTTTTTAATTTTTAGAATTCAATTAAGTAATTATTTTTTAAAATAAAATTTTATTTTATTTTTATATCTTATCAATTAATAAGCTAAGTGGGAGAATATCATATTGGACCCTATATAATTAAATAAAAAAATATTATAGATCTAATTAAATTATTATGGTAATTAGTTAATAGAAAAATTTTTTAATTATGTAAGATTCCTTAGATGATCTTGATGGGATAAAATATTTTAATTATCATCTTAAACCATTTACTCTCACTTATAAGGACAAAACATTAGAAATTATCTTAGACCATGCTCTCTCCTATAACATGATAGAACCTCATAAGGATGAAATATTAAAAATTAATATTATAAATATATTTTCAATCTCCGTAAGTTATTATTGTATCGTTGGTCATGTAAAAAATAGAAAAGAAAAAAAAGTTAAGTATAGTTCTCATTCCTACCCATTGTAGTTTTCAGATTTAAATATTTATATATTTGATAATTTTTTGAATAATATTAAAAATATATAATCTTATTATTATTTAATTTTAATTTTAATATTAAACTTTTTTACATAATTGTAATATAATTATATTTTTTATTCTTGCATAAACAACACATACGCAACCCTCGAAGCATAAACTGGTCAATATCTTGGAGGTTACAAGAGGGCAAATTTGCTCGAGAGAGATCCAGACCTGTGAGTTCCGTTTCCCGACCAAAGGACAAATCCACGAGACAGTTTAAGAATTCACTCAATGGATTTTGTGGGCGTGGGCAAGATGATGGTCGGAGAATGGTTCGCCAGTTACTTTGTGGACAAGCTGCTTAACATGGTCTCCTCCCATTTTGCCGACAACCGCGATCTGCTCGTGGGCGTTGAGGAGAAGCTCAAGGACTTGCAGTCCAGACTTCCTCGAATCCAAGCTGTGATCAACGCAGCCGAGGGCAGGCCGATCAGAGACGCAGCGCTGGCCAATTGGATGAGGGAACTCAAAGATGCTGCTTACGAGGCGGACGACATACTGGATGAGTTCGAGTACAGAAAGCTTCATAACCAGCTGCAAGACAGGAGCAAGGTGAGTGCCCTCGCGGCCTCGGCTCTTAGATTTCTCAAGAACTTATTCGTGTCGGATGATGACCTCAAGAGGTTGATGAATCTCTTGGGGGATCTTGACAAAATTTGTCTAGACATCAACAACAAGAAAGTAGAGCTGGATGAGTACAATGCGAAGCAGAACACTGCTACAAGGGATACCAGTTCGTTCACCCCCGAAGTGGTGTTTGGGAGAGACAAAGAGAGGGACAAGATATTACACCTGTTGTTGAGCACAGGAGCAGAACCCGATTTTGGCGACAAGGGGGCTGGGAGCAGCAGCCATCCCAGCCTCGGTGTGCTGCCGATTGTAGGCATTGGGGGAGTGGGGAAGACAAGTCTAGCACAGCTTATTTACAACGACCAAAGGATTGCTCATCATTTTGAGCTCAGAAAGTGGGTGTACGTCTCTCATGATTTTAACGTAAAAAAGATCGCGAGAGAGTTGGAATCTAATCTGGCTGTTGATTCTCGCCCTCGAGAGATTAGTTTAGATACACAGCTTGGGAAACTCATGGATGCAACTAGAAACAAGAGGTTCTTGTTCGTGCTCGACGATGTATGGGATGAAACAGGAAGCAAGTGGAGAGAGTTACGAAGCGTCTTAACCTCAGGGGCCAGAGGAAGCTTCGTATTAGTAACAACTCAAAGTCCATTAGTTGCAGAGATTATGGGGACCATCGACCCAATCAAATTAGAGGTTTTGGAGGAAGAAGACTATTGGAGACTCTTTGAACATTGTGCAATAGGTGATAAGGAGCTTGACCCAGAATTAAGAAGAAAGTTGCAATCGCTTGGCCATCAAATCTCAAAAAAGCTACATGGATTACCCTTAGCAGGGAAGGCACTGGGAAGTCTTTTACGGTCCAGATTAGATGAGGAATATTGGAAAACAATCTTAGAAAGTGAATGGTGGGAACATGATTTTGTTTTGGATAACATCCTTCCATCCCTCGGGCTGAGCTATCAACACATGAGCTCAAACCTGAAACAATGCTTTGCGTACACTTCTATATTCCCCAAGGGCCACATTTTCGAGAAAGAACGGTTGGTCCATATGTGGATAGCTCAAGGTTTTATCCAACCCAGAATTCACCGAGGAAGAATGACCCTGGAGGATATTGGGAGTCAGATTTTTGACGAACTAATCAACAGATACTTTTTTCTGGGTACAGTGACTAATAGATATGTGATGCATGATCTGATCAGAGACTTGGCAGTGTATGTTTCCCTGGATGAGTGTTGTGTGGTTAGTGATGAACCTGCCAAAATTCCACCAACTGTTCGCCACATAACTCTAAGGGCTGCTAAACTGGGTCTGCCTGGAGAAGTATGTAAGTTTCAAAAACTGCGAACACTTATATTTTATCATGATTATAATTGTGAAGAATTTCTCAGCTCAGAAGGAAAAAGTTCTGAAGAACTTTATGAATTTCTAAAAGAAATTTTGGAAAATACGAAGAGTCTGCGAGTGTTAGACGTATCATACAGCCACATGGGGATAAAGAAGTTACCAGATGCAATCTGTGATCTATCGCATCTTCGGTATTTAGACGTCTCATGCACTAAGATTCGGCAGCTGCCAGGATCATTTTCAAAAATTTGTCATTTGCAAGTGCTGAATCTGAAGTGGTGCCGCTTTAAAAAGCTACCAGAAGGAATGAATAGGCTAATCAAATTGCGACACCTCTATGCAGAAGCTGAAACAATTTCTCTGATCGATGGGATTGGGAAATTGACTGACCTTCAAGGATTAGAAGAATTCCATGTTACAAGGAAAAGAGGCCACCAAATAGGAGAATTGAAGGAACTAAGAAATCTCCGAAAACGGTTAGTCATTAAAAATCTTGATAATGTTGGATCTAAGGAGGAGGCAATGGAGGTAAAATTAAATGACAAGGTGCACCTTAACGAGATTACGTTTGACGGCCAAGGTGATATGAAGACGGACATACTTGACGGCCTAGAACCACATTACAATCTCAAAAACCTTAGCATCCAACGTTACAGAGGTACAAATTATCCAAGTTGGTTGGAGAATAATCACTATGTCACCAATCTGGAGTCTATTTGTCTTGATACTTGTGCTAGGTGGGTAAATCTCCCTCCTCTTGGGCAGCTTCCATTTCTCAAGGATTTATCAATTAGGATGATGCCTTCAATAAGACGAATTGGAATTGAATTCTATGGAAATGCTGCTCAGATCTTTCCATCATTGAAGTGTCTAAAATTTCTGCTCTTGAAGGAATGGGAGGAGTGGTCTGATGTAGATGGGCGGCCAATTCTTCCACGCCTTCTTGATCTCAGAATAGTGGAATGCCAGAAGCTGACAAGAATGCCCGTTCTCCCTTTGACCTCAATGACTGCTCTTACACTTAAGATGTGTGGTGACATTGGCAATGCACTACCGGAGTATATGCTCAGCTGGACCTCTCTTGTAAGTATAGACTTGACTGATTATCCACACACAACATCTGTTTGTCTGTCTAACCTTAGAGCCCTCGAGCATCTGTACCTGTATCAGTGCCCAGAGTTGAGTTTAATTAATGGATTTCAGTCCCTTGTTAACCTGAAAAATTTAACAGTTCAAAAATGTCCGAAGCTAATTAAACCCTCCTCACAGCGAGAGCAACCATACATTGAGCAGGATTTAAGATCTCTCTCTAATGTTGCGATTGAAGAAAGCATCCTCAATAATGGGTGGGTCACACTGGGAAGGATTCCCTCTTTGCAAAGTCTAGGAATTCATTATTTTAGTCTTGCTTACTTTGAAATGGAGCATGAGGAGTGGTTTCAGCAACTAACCTCCGTAAAGCTGCTTCATTTTATGGATTGTCCGAATCTTCAAAAGCTTCCTGATTTGGAAATATTTTCCTCGTTGGAGAAGTTAACCATCGGTTACTGTCCCAATGTTCAGTCAATGCCAGAGAATGGCCTACCAATCTTGCTTAAAGAACTTCATATCTGGGAGTGCACAAAATTGAGAGAT